CCTGTCACAGCGACGCCCAACATCAACACCGAAAAGTAAAGGTGGGCACTCAAAAGAACGTATCGATTTGAACCGATCGGATGTCAGAGCGCTATTGGATGCAAGCAAGAAAGATGATTTTGAACAATTTGTTCAATGTCTGGAAGATGTGCGTTGCGCGTCTCCCAATTGCTCCAAATCAAAACAGAAAGCATTTGGCACCGATTTACAGAATTATGCGCTCTATTTTGACCACGTACTAGCCGAAGAAACTAACCGAACAGATCTACTAGAAGATCCCGTTCATCAACATGGGCTCACTACGAAATCCAATGGGCATCATACCAGTTTGTCCAACGGACACGGATGTCAGCCCAATTCCCGTCCGGATCACACGCGAACAGAGACTTCTTGCACCGAGACGAGCTCATGCATATTCACTCCTCCGCCCACTCCACAAACTGGATTATTAGTGACCACCGATATGGACCCGGGTCTACAATCAGACCAATCGATTAAACACCAGCTCACCCGATCGGTATCGCATGAACCGACCGCGTCCACCCTACCCGTGTCCTCATCAACTAAGTACTTGGGCACATTGGCACGACGTCATTCAACGCAAGAATTTCTCAGTATCAAACCGACCGAAGAAGTCGAGCATACGGTGGGGTCATTCACAAAACCTGGATCCGAATATCTAAATCCGATCAACATCCCTAATTTGGGTAAGTGTACGCAAAGGTGATCTGTAGATCAATTTGAATTAATTGTTGAAGTCGTTGCAATGAGATTCCAATCTCTCGTTCGTTTCATGTCTGTGATGAAGTACGACTGGGTGAAACTCTGTGAAAATTTTTGTAGAACATGCGGAATCATTTGTGAGTAGAATGTGTGCAACTAAGGAGACGCTAGAAATAAGAATGTTTTAAGCACTAAATTTAAAAATTCCATGTGGGCTAGCATAATCAAGTTGATAATAAAGTGAATCGCTTGTCGTTTCTATCCCCCATTCGATAGTCCGCTTTTATTGCAATGAGGATCTCGGCTTCCCGGAACAGAAAGCTCATTTTTATTCATTTCACTAGTATGTTTTTTTTTCTTTTTTCATTTTACTTCCATTGGTTGAATTCATAATGATACGATTTTCAGTCACTCAAAGAGCTCTCATACAACACATAATGGAGAAAGTCAGGAGGTGGGGATAGGACTCGAACACATGCGCTCAGATGCGATAATGTAATCACATTACCACTCGGTCATCACCATCATCATTGATGACAGACAAACTTTTGTCCTTTCTAAATTTGATCAGAACAAAAATGCTTTTGGCTAAAGAGTTCAGCAATCAACTTCACGAACGAACCGCCTAATTTGAGGCAGTGTTTCCTCGAAACCGCCTTTGGGTAAACTGCGTCATGAACAGAGTGGCACAGATGTTTCAAATTCGGGCTAAAATTTCCGAAAAATCATGGTTTTTTCATAATCTGTTTCCTCGAAGTCTTTGTTATCCGCTTTAATAAGAGATCGCAGTGAAACTTGGACATATATCGATAAATCACAACTTTACTGCAATGTACCAAAGGTAAACACACTTTTTATTCCCGATTGGACTTGCTTGGGTTAAGTATGCATGGACTGTGATTGATTGGTCTGTAGAACTCCCAGAATGTACTTGATTACATCGCACATGTGACATAATACAACAGCTCGACGCAACACATTTCCATAAGAGCGACTGAACTCAACTAACAGATTTTAACTGTGCTTTTATGTGCACTGAGACCAGGAATGACTCACTGGTCTGAACAGTCAATGTTCCCCCACAGTTTGACCAGCTCACTCAATATCACCCACATACCCGAATATCCCACTCTTCCTCACTTTCACATGTCCATTCTAGCATCCAAATAAACAATGGCATCGGCATTGTGATCATCAGTTCGAACAGTGCTGCTATACGGCGCAGAGAATTGGCCACCACGAAAACAGGACAACGATAAGCTGTCTGTGCTCGAACAACGCTGTTTACATTGAATTGCACGAGTCTGGTAGGGAAACTTGACAAGCAATGCTGAGGCTATAAGCAGAGTTTCC